TCAGCATCACACACACACACACACACACACACACACACACACACACACACACACACACTTACACTCACCCCTTACTGATCTGGGGAGCTGTATGCAATAATGCATTTATCATCTTGTCTCTGACTGAACTCTGATGCATTAATGAGTGAGTGAATAAATGACAATCAACACGAAGCAAGGCCATCCTTGCTCATCATCAAGCGGATTTATCCAGGTTAATAATACTCTGACCATGTAGTTAAATTCTAGTAACTCCTATTTCTTTTCTAATATCTTAAAAGAGTAAAACAAGACTTTTAAAGAGCATCATGTAAATTCAAAGGGATCCTCATAGCTTGTCACTGCCTTTACTGTTACCATGGACGGTTCCCTCACCAGGTGTGATGCAGCCTTGTCCGAACTCACAGAGTCTCGGCATGCAGCATTCTCGGGAGCTGGGCTGGTGCCTGTGAGAAGAGGAAACACACTGAAGGACCGGGGGAGCAGTGACAATCAAAAGAGGAAGAGAGGGGAAGGGTGGTGATGTGGGTAGACCAGCGAACAACAAAGGCTGGCATGTGACAACAGCAGATTGCTCCAGAGTGCACGCATGTCTGCCAGTGCAGAGCCAGGGATGCCGCGCCAAGGCCTTCTCCCAGTCTGCGCGAGTGGCCTTTCAAACAGAGGGTGTTTCTCTAAGCCTTTCTTGGGTTAATGCTCCCTTTTCTGCTAACGGTCTTACTGATCAGTAACAGAGCTATCAGAGGAAGGAGAAGCGGCTACGAGTTGGCATTCACACAGCTTGACAAACAGTTTTGTAAATCTTGTATGCAAGGCTGGTAGTGATCATGATGTTCTGCTAAAGCATGGACACTTGCAAACATCAAGTTATCAAGCTGAGGGAAGGGACACTTTGGGAACGCTCTGTCATGCTTGGGAATCTGTTCATTTTTGCACACACTGCACAGAATGTTGCCCACACTCCCTAACACTCAGTACTTTTCTCTTCAAGAAACAATAGCCCTTTGTGGTGCTGTAAAAGACTAAAAGAAATAAGAACAAAATAGTTATCAATTTCTTTTGGAAAATATGATTTCCCCCCATGGAAATTTTTCCTTAAATTTTAGAGCTGGGGCTGATATGATGAGACCTAACCGAGTCTAACCTGTTTCTGTCAGACGGCAATATTTAAGGCCTGTTATATTGTAATTTTTCTTCCGTCTATAAAATTGAAAGAAAATGATGGCACCTTCCTTCATTTCCTTCATACATCAGAGCTGCCTCCTGGTTGTCCTTGAGCCCCTCGACAGCATACCTGGCATGGCAGAGGCCGATCTTGCTTCTTCCTCCTTCTCACAGAGGGATTTGCAGCCAGGTTCACCAGGAGTCATGTGCAAAATGTCTGATCCAGATTCTGCCGACAGGAAGAGGCTGACAGCATGAGAGCTATGCAAAAGAAGCGTTTACCTGGGCTCCTTATTTGCACACCCCTTAGCAGGCCACCAAACGCCAGGGCTCCGTTTGTGATAAGAACTCCAATTTTCCCCTCCCCCTCTCTACTCACCGCTTGATGTCACGGTACTCTCTGAGGATGAAGTGTGGTCAGCGGATGGTTGTGTGAGATACTCCCTGACGAAAGGATACAAGAAATATCTTCAACATGGAGGGCAGATAATCCCTTTAAAAACCAATGGCATATACACCCAAGTTCAAGAGCATCGCAAACCTGAGCTGTGGCAAGCTCTCAGAATACAAGTGGCCAGCACCATTCTCCTGCGGGGAACAAGGAGACACGTAGTCAGTGATTTGACAGTGTCCGTCCCAGAAGGCAAACATCCCCAACAGTTTTAAATGAAGCCACTAGTTACTGTGCTCTGGGGGAGGTTTTGGGAATGGAACCTTATAGGGAATCTTCATACACACACTTCCTCACAGACATTCTCACAATATCTCACTTTAAAGAAAACCTGATATATCCTTGAGCAAAACAAACTCCAAACCTCAAGGGCAGATGGACATTATTTCACACACTCACGTCATGTTCTCTTTACAGGGGATGCACTACTTGAGTGTGACATTTTTATTTAAGAGACCGTTACTCAGCATCAAACTTTTTACCTGAAATAGCTCCTAGGCTTCTTGCTAGATAAATTATACATTTTAGATTTAATCCACATTGCAGGGATCTGATAGATTACAATCACGTCACATCCATGACTCCATTCAAAGGGGGCATTACTGAACTGCCAGGGCAAGTCGTAAAAGTCTCCTTTGAACCTTTAGATTTATGTTGGAGAGGAGCTGGTGTGCCACACTAGGATCTATGCATACGCTCACCCTCTTTCAAAAGGCAAAGGTGGAGTATCGGTCTTGTCTGGAGCTTCCTTTTAAGCCCTGGGCCCTTCCGTGAGCTTGCTCTGGTTGTTATGCACTTAGGAAGGGAAACTGACTTCAAAACTGCTATCATTCTAGCATGTCTGAGGCAGATGCAGACAATGTGAAATGAAAACACACATAACTACATGTAGGCGTGCATAAACTGTAAGACCCATTGGATGCAGACTCGTCAAAGGCTACATACAGCCAAGGGCAGGCTGCCACAGAAGGATGCTGCTCTCGAGAAAACATTGACCAGAGTCACAGGAAGTCTTAGTGGGGGCTTGGGTTTTGTTGTTTATCTCATTGTTGGTTTTAGCAGTCCTGACCAACCAAGAGCCTTGGCCACGCCAGGCAAGAGCTCCGTCACTGACCTACTCTCAGTACAGCAGTCTATGTCTATTTAGTGTGTCAAAATGTACAAATGCCAGGGGTGGCCAGTGGACTCAGCAGGTGAAGGTGCTTGATGCCAAGTCTGATGACCTGAGTTCAATCCTGAGAAACCAGTGGAAAGAGAGAAGTGACTCCTGGGAACAGCCTCTGCCCTCCGTGCGTACACTGAAACATACATCTATCATCTCATTTCCCAAAACTCTTATACAGAAGGTTTTCAGGGGGAAATGCAGGAAATCAAGGCCAGGGGAGAAAGAGTCTAGCAAGAGCCTGAGAAGCAGCCAGCCTTCTAAGTACACTAAACTAAATAGAGCGGCTTCTCCACTGCAGAATACCTTTGAGTATGCACTGATGCAGGGTATTGGGGAACAGAGTACCTCAACTATTTAGACTAATAAAGATTTTATAAATATAAACATGGTCTGGACAGAGGGCTCAGCAGTTAAGAGAGCTCGTGGCTCTTGCAGAGGACCTGGGTTCAGTTCCCAGAACCCAATGGTGGTTCCCTCCAACCGATAAATCCATCTCCAGGGGATCTGACACCCCTTTTCCCGCTCTGCAAGCACCTGCATATACATGCACACACATTCACATGGACACATAATAAATCTTTTAAAAACTAAATGTTAATTTAAATGTGTTTACCTCAAATACAAAAGAAAAAAGGAAATGTTCAAATTTGAAAAAAATAAGACTCTGTATCACTGCTTAAACTCCTGTTTTATTTCTTCATGGTTTTTATTGATTTTTGTTCTTGCGTTTTAAGGTGTTTGATTGACAGCTGTAGATACCTACACATTTTGAGATGTTTTGCTCCATGCAGAGCTTGCACAGCCATCTGGGTAATCAAACGTTGAAGAACTGTATCACCTACAGGTAGTTCAGTGACGTTGGCCCTATCTCTACTTAAATACTTAGTGATTACAATTATATTTATCTATAGTACGTATATGAAGCGAAGCTATAAAAACTGGAGAAGATTATGTATCATTCCATCCCGTAGGCAATCACAATTCATAAAAGCAAGAATTGATTTCTCTAAAGGACATTTGAAATTCAACAGACCAGCATGTCAGCACTGGTCAGCTGCAGTACTACCATAGCCTTGTCCGCTGGAGCCTTGATGCTCATGCTTGGACGAACACAGGAAGAAGTGTGTTCATGTTCCGAAAGTGGGAGAAAGGCAGCACACAGCTTTGTGTAACAAGCCTTCTAGTTAAAAGCCTAATTGTCCTGTTTAAAGCCAAACACAGCTATAGGCACCATGTAGATTTGTCCCTGTAGTGTTACAGATGAGTCCCGTCTGCAGGGTGCCCCACAGCGCCCCCTGTGTTCACTTATAACCTTAGACAAGTGCAGTCAGAGGGGCCTCGTTTGCACAGTAGAAAACCTACTGTCTCATGCTCTGAAACATTCTCAGAAGTGTTTTTGACAAATGTCAACTAATTACTGACTACACAATGTCCTGTGTGATCTGAGAGAAACCTCACAAACTGAGTGGCCATCGTCTCCCCCTGGTCCTGAAGGGCTATGGTAGAAGCAATCGGATTCAACTCTCAAGTTGTCATTTTCTATAAATCCCAACCATCAGGTATTGACACCCAGCAGAACTCAGTCCTAACCTATTGTAAGTGTAGACCAGCAACATGCTGATCCATCCCATGAGAATAACCAGAGTAAAGGGGATGGACTTTTGTTCTTCACTTCAAATCTGGGGTTGTAGTGCAGGAGAGTTGGAGAGAAAGCCTTCTGGACGACTGTGTATGTGAAGTGGGATAGGAGTAATTTAAGCCCCATTTATACCATTATCCCATGCTCACATAAGACCCTAACCCCACCAACAACCTTGTGACCTGGAGAGACTGTGAGGGAGAATCTACTAAACATATTTTAAAAGCAAAGAAAACCAAGAAATAGAGTAAATTTCGGTGAGAGACTGACTTACTTTTGGCAGACCAGCTCACTCCATGAAGCGAACACCCAGGAGGAATGTTCTCCATTCGCAGACAATCTATTCAAATAGAGACCTGATCCCATTTACATGAAACCCAGGCCCAGCCCTTGCTCTTGTGAGCAGGAGTCAACATGGGGTGGGGTTGGCAAGGTATGGAACAAAGTGAGACAGTCTCCTATGGGCTGGGTCAGCAAATACAAGCTGCTCGCTCGCTCTCTCTCTCTCTCTCTCTCTCTCTCTCTCTCTCTCTCTCTCTCTCTCACACAC